TTTCATTGTGTACTTTTTGCTAAACAGGAAAATCACCGAAAAAATTTCAAGATATTTAATGTACCCACAATAGATTTATTGTACCAATTATACTTTGATTTTTAACAAATTTTTTTAACATTATGTTTGAAACTCCAATTTCACATTGTGAAATTTAATATGAAAAATCTTTATAGAAAGGAAGGTGGTTATTAAAACGAGAACGTTCTCAATTTTTAACATTTTAACAAAATTGTACTCTTAAGTAATAATCATTACACTTGTACTTTTAATAACAACATCATTTTTTTTAACAAATTATAATTATTTACTAATGTTAATTAGGAGAAAGAGAAAAAGATTTCGTGAAGTTCAAACACATCACTTACAAAAAATAAATAATCTTAACTCAAAATTCATACCATTAGATCCATTCAGTAACAACATCTTAATTTGTAAATGTAACTAATAATTGTTAAATTTTTACTTTAAAATAATCATTAAAAATTAATAAATAATAAAATAATTAATAATTATTATTTAATAAATTAAAAGAAATTTATAAATAAATATTTTAAATATTATAATTAATTACTTAAGAAATTTATAAATAAATATTTTAAATATTATAATTAATTATTTAAAAATTTATAAATTAATAAAATTACAATTAAATTTATGACCTTAATAAATTAAATGATAACAATAACTTTAACCTAATTTTGCCAATTAAGAAAAAACTCTTCTTTTAGAAAAATTGTTCTTTTCACAGGATTGAAAGGTGAAAATGTGTTGGAAACAAGACAGCTAAGTTAATTAGAGCATATAGAATGAAAACAAATATATATATATATATATTTTAGTCCTACATTATTATAACTAATATTATTTTATATAAATTCACATTTTAAATATTTAACTATTAAATAAAACACTTAATAAAATATGTCTTTTTTAATTCTTATATCTAAATAATTTTTTTAAAATTAATATACTATTATTTTTAAAATTTATACTTTAAATATTTCTATGAAAGAAACAATAAAAATTTCATTGTACATGCTCTTAACTTTATTTTATTTTTCAAATTTCTCTATCCATCCGCTTAAAAGCTGAAAAAACACGTTAATTATAAAAACAGCCTCAGCTCGTGCTGACAAGACTCAACTCATAATTCATATGCCACTAGAATCAGCACGTTAACAAATTAGTCAACTGTTACAGGTCTCCGATGCTGACATTTACAAAGCGTGGAAGACTCGACTACTACTAGTCTTTATGTAGGTTTTATGTTCGTGCAAGGATGTGCAATAGAATGATGGTAGGTTCGGAGAATTCCAACCAAATGAATTTTTACAAATTAGTCTCTTTCTTTATCTTGAATTTACTTTATTTTGATAATTTGATAAGAGAATAGTCATTACTACCACAAACATGACCCAAATTAATGAAAAAATATGTATTTTTTTTATAAAAAATAAAAAAATAAATATTTTTTTTTGAACAAGTTGATAAGAGTAGATTCAAACCGAGGGAAAAAATGCACTTCTAAGGTAATCCGAAAGTTACTTGGCCCGAATGGTCAAGTGCAAAAAAATAATAATAATAATAAATAAACAAATATTAAGACTTAATTCTTCATAATTTTTTATGAAAATTTCTTAATTTTAACTTACTTCTATAGTTGACCAAGAACCAAAAGATAATGTCACCAACCAAATAAAACTATACCGTGATGTCTAGGAAAGTTTCTCAAAGTTAACTTATTTTTATAATTTAATTAAAAAATAATTATTACCACCAATCAAATATGATATTATGAGTTATATATAAATAAAGCATTTGCTTCGAGTCCTCTAAATCTACAATCAATCTATGGTACATCTTCGCACAAATACAGCCTCGTTACACTGTCATCCATTCACTGAAACATATATGCATATCAACGAAATCAAGGGCGGAGCTAAAAATTTAAGTTAGGGGGTAAATTTTTAAAATTTTTGTTAAGTCATTTAGGTTTCGTTTGACCTTCTTTTTTTTTATAAATTTTTTGCACAATAACTTTTAGAAAAATGTAAATTTATTATAATTAATTAATATTTTATATTTGACCCAAAAATTAATATTTTATAAACTTTTATTAATTTTGATTAATATTATATATATTTTTGAAATATTAAAAGATAAAAAAACTTATACTTACAGCACAATAGTGATAAATGAAACCATTGATTTTTAAATTAATTATTATTTTTATGCATATACTACATTTATCTTCTATAACAAATTTTATATTAACTAAATATATTTAACTGTTTTGAATAATATAGATTTTAAGACTGTTAAATAAATAATGTAAAAATATAGATTTTTTTACAGGTTATATATGAAATCAACTTTAATTTAATATAATATAAATCACATAAAAAATCATATATAATTAATGTAAAAAGTTATATAAGTTTATTTAATATAACTAGATTTGTACTATTTTTTATATTTGCTCTTATTTAAATAAAATTATAATGCCCTTATAAAAATCAGCCACAAAGAGAGAAATGATCCGTTTACCTAAGTTTTAAATATTCTTTTAATATTTGAATGGCTCCTATAATTCAAATTAACTTTAAATATAAAATTTTATAGAAAATAAAAATTGATGTTCCATGTTAACATTTTTCAAAAGCTTAAGGGGGGCGGCTGCCCCCCCTCCTTGTCCTGCATTAGCTCCGTCCCTGAACGAAACTAACAAATTTGACCCCAAACAGGACATTGGTATCCCTTATTTCTTTTTGCGCTACAATTGGTATCCATTAATTAATTATATTATTCAAAGTCCATAAAGACTTGAAATTTGATAGGAATTCAGTATTGGAATATTTGATTTAAAATTGGTTAAATGCTAAACTTAGTCCCTCAACTTTACAAAATACACATTTTTGGTCCCTCAATAATTTTTTGCACTTTTTTGATCCCTTAATTCTAAGAAAATGCACATTGTTAGTCTTTTCGTCAATTTGAGTCGTTAACTTTGCGCATGTGACATTTTTTATATTTTTTTTATGACATGGCAAAAGCAACTTAAAAAAGTGTTGATCTGGACATTTTTTTTATAACATATCAACGCCAACTTATTAACCAAATTTGATTAGCATTTATAGTTTTAATAAAAAAATAAAAAACTACAAATTTACCTTAATACCCCTGTCTCCCTTTCTTTCTTGATCCATCTTCTTCCCCTCTTTCGATCCATCTTTTTCCTTTCTTTTTTCTTTTTCTTTCTTCCTTTTCTTTCTTCCTCTTCTTCGTCTGTGTTGTTGGGTTCCCTCAAACCCAACTGATCTGGGTTCAAGGGAACCTAGCTCAGGTTTGATGGAATCCATCTACTAGGTTCAGGGGAACCCAGGTTGGGTTCCATTGAACCCAGATCTGCTGGGTTTGGACGAGAAAAACTTAGTAGTATTTGGTCGACTCTGGCATTCCATACACATTTATCAGCTAGATTGATTCCAATGTTTGCTTTCTTTTGTGCATCTTGCATCCCTTTTAGAATTGTTTAAAGAGCATGTTTGATTAGGTTCTTTAGATAGGTTTCTACCATGGTTTTTGAAAAGGATAAAAAATAGAGACTAACTTGGGCAAAAGTAAAGGCAAACTACATTCTCTGATTTCTGTATTATTTTCCTTCAAAATCATTTTTGTTTCCGGAAATGTGTTTAAATACTGATAAATTCACTGTAGATTTTTCTTCATTATAACCTTATTAACTGGTTTTTCAAAACTTCTGCATTGTCATTTCTCAAGCATTTGGAGCCTGCTAATATGTATTTTGTAAGACTATAACTTTTGCTTATTTGCATTAGTCGTAACTCATAAGTTGATTTCACATTTGCATATATTTGTGTTTCCTTTTCAAATCCTTATTTTAGTATATGTGGATGAATATTGCATTACAAATCCATGGTTTTTCAGTTTCAATATTGATTCTTGATATTAAAGTCGCAACGAACCCAAAATAGACTTGGGTTTGTGACAAACCCAGATATGTTCTGGGTTCATCGCGAACCTAGTCATGGCCAAGAAGGGGGATGAGTGGGAGGGGAGAAGAGAAACAATGAGAAACAATGACAAAGAGAGGAAAAATGGTTGGAAATAGTGATAAAAAATTAAAAATAATAATTAAATCTAAGTTGGCATGTACACCTAAACTAATCATATGATTTGTCATTGACATGTCATTTTAAAAGGGTGCCATTTTGGAATATTTAACTGTCAACTGTGAGTTAACTAATGGAAGATCAAAATTATGCAATTTTTAGAGTTGATGGATCAAAAAAGTGCAAAAAATTATTGAGGGATCAAAAATGTGCAACTCACTAAAGTTGAGGGACTAAATTTAGCATTTAACCTTTAAAATTTTGGTGTTTTACTCAGTCAAGTGTACTTACACGTGGGGCCGGCTAACAATGGTGCGGCTTCCCTGCCGAGAATTTCCGTGCTAACCAAACAGGTTCTATTGTTCATTGTGGTACTTCCCTTTCAAAATAATTGTTATTATTTAATTTTAGTAAAAAATGTATATTAGTCTCAATTTTAAAAAGTAATTAAAATTAAAATTTTAATTATTTTTTTAAATTCAAAATTGATACATGCTAACCTCTAATTTTAATTATATTTTGGGGAAAGTGGCCGTCAGTCCTACCTCCAAAAAAAAATTTGGAGTCCCAACCATAAACGACGTCGTTCTCTTTATCCCCAACCCTTTCTTCTTTTTGCCCCTTCTGCAATCATCTCCATCTCCATGGACTCCTCCGATTCCTTCAATTTTTCAGACGCAATCCCACCCCGCCGACTTAATCTTTAGCACCCACTATTTTAACCCCATTCTCCCACTGCAATTCATCGTCTCAACAACTTCAACCCATTCCTCTAGTTGCGGAAGACGACGACGACGACGACGACAAGCGCAAAGTAACCAAGCTTCGTCGGTTGTCATTCTCGCCGTCGTCTTGTCCGCCCTCACCGTCAACTTCCAGGCCTGAGAAGTTTATTCACCTCATTCCAGTTCTCACTCTTCTTTGCTTCCTCATCCTCTATCTCTCCTCTCATGCTCCATCTCAATCAGGTATGTGTGTTCAAAATCTACTAGCTAAGCATCATTTTTCAAAGGAGATTTGATATTCTTGCCATTGACTTTTTTTGTTTTGTTTTGATTTTTTTGGTTAAGATTTGGCTCATTTTGCTCAATTCAAGCGCTCCTCTAAGCAGCTGGGTATAATGTAGCTTCAATTCCGCTTTATTTTCTCTCATTTTTCTCGTTAATTTCAGATTTTTAGTATTTCTTGCCTTTTTCTGTTGTTTATTTTAAAAAAAATTTTATCTACTCTGTAGATTCAAGTGATGAAATCGGCGATGCCGGTGGATTTGTTGATCTCCGTAAAGGTGATATTCTGGCGATTAGAAGTCTAAGGAATCTGCA